TTCCATACTACCCAAAGTGATCCACAGATTCAATGTAATCCCTATCAAGATACCAGAGATATTCTTCACAGAAATAGAAAAAATGACAATCCTAAAAATCCATAAAATCACAAAAGACCCCAAGTAGGCAAAGCAATCTTGAGCAAAAAACAAAATAACACTTGAGGCATCACAATACCTGAGTTCAAAATATACTACAAAGCTAAAGTAACCAAAAAAGCATGGTATTGACATAAAAACAGACACATAGACCTATGAAACAGAATAGAGATCCTAGAAATAAATCCACACATCAACAGCCAATTGATTTCCAACAAAGGTGTCATGAACACACAACGAGGAACAGACAGGCTCTTCAATAAATGATGCTGAGAAAATTGGATAGATATCCACATTGCAGGAGAAAGCAACCAGAGCCCTATATCTCACTATATACAAAAGTCAACTCAAAATAAATCACAGACATAAATGTAAGATCTGAAAGCACGAAACTACTAGAAGAAAACATAGGTGAAATGCTTTATGCATGACATTGGACTGTGCAAGTATTTTTTGGATAAAACCTCAGAAGTATAGGCAACAAAAGAAAAAACAGACAAATGGAATCACATCAAACTAAAAAGCTTCTGCCCAGCAAAGGAAACAATCAACAGAGTGAAGAGACAACATACCGAATGGGAGAAAATATTTGCAAACTATATATCTGACAACAGATTAATAGCCAAAATACATAAGGAGCTCAACCCAATAGCAAGAAAACAAATAATCTGATTTTTAAAATGGGCAAAAATCCTTAATAGACACTTCTCAAAATAAGGAATGGAAAAAATGCTCAAAATCACTAAACATCAGGGAAATGCAAACCAAAACTACAATGAGATATCACCTTACACCTGTTCGAATGGCTGTTATCAAAAGATAAGGGTTGGAGAGAATGTGGAGAAAAGGGAGCACTTGCACACTGCTGATGGGAATGTAAATTAGCACAGCCATTGTGGAAAACAGTATGGCAGTCTCTCAAAAAATTAAAAATAGAACCACCATATGAGCCAGCAATCTCACTACTAGATATGTATCCAAAGAACCAGTATGTTGAAGGGATATCTTCTCTCCCACATTTATTGTAGCACTGTTCACAATAGCCAAGATGTGGCATCAACTTAAGTGTCCAAAAAGAGATGAATGGATAAATATAAAGTGGTATATATCCTAAAAAAGATTGAAATGGTGTCATGTGTGAGAACATAGATGAACCTAGAGGACATTACGTTAAATGAAATAAGCCAGGCACAGAAAAACAAATACATGTTCTCACTCCTATGCAGAATCTGAAAACATTGACCTCATGGAAGTTGAGAGTAGAACAGTGGTTGCCAGAGACTGAGGGGTGTCAGAGGGAGAAGGGGGTGAGCTTGATCAATGAGTAACAAGCTACAACTAGAAGGGAAGAATAAGTTCTGCTGTCCTGTTGCATAGTAGGTGACTATAGTCAACAATAGTCACCCTATTCTTCTCCAAATAGGTAACAGAGAAGATTTCATATGTTACTACTTACAAAGAATGGACAAACATTTGAGGTGATGGATGTGCTAATTACCTTTATTTGATCATTACATGATGTATACATGTATTGAAACATCATATTCTATCCCATAAATGTGGTGTACAATTATTATGTGTCAATTAAATAGAAAAATGTAGAGATAGTGACATGTGAGCAGGTATTACAAGTTAAACAGTAGTTTACTGGGAGAAAAAGATGGTAGGTAACCCCAGCTAATGGAAACGCAAACTCTGTAAAATAATTTAAAGAGGTTTATTCTGAGCCAATATGTATGACCAAGGCCCAAGGAATCCACAAACTCAAGAAGCCTTGAGTAAGTGGCATTCCTCTGGCAGTCCCTGGACATGTAGGATGGGGCTGGTGGTACCTGCTAGCAGAGGAATCAGGCACTTAGCTACAACAAAAGGTGAGGCCAAAGAAGGTCCCTAAGTCAGACAAGCACGGGGTAGAGGGGATTGGGGGGGTGGGCAGGCGGACCAGGAGGTCCCACGGAGGGACACTGGAGTTAGTGACCGGCAGCCTGGCTGGTGAGGGAGGGCCCCATGACTGTCTTCTTTGACCTTGTGGAGATGAAGGGGGGGATAAACTACACAAGAAAGGAAGGATAGGCACAAGAACAAGTTTGGGGAGACAACAAACATTGCTTTGCAGGAAAGCCTGGGGCCGTTTTGGGGGATTTAGTCATAGGATCTCACGGCTGCAGTTAAGGTATAAAGTCATGGGCGCCATAACCGCTTTGGTGCGGTGCTCACCGGCCGCGAAACCTCGCCCACACCGGCACTCACAGTCCGCACGGCAGCGTGTGCTGCGCATTGACGAGGAATCTGTTTTGCTCTTGTGTGATGAGGAAAGCTTTAAAGCACTGAAAGCTTGTTTTACTTTACAGGCAGCTTTACTTGTCATGTAAATCAGAATAGGTAACATATACATATATGTTTCATTATGTTATTTTTAAATGTTCACAATTTTATTTTATTTTATTTTTTATTTTTTTGAGACAGAATCTCGCTTTGTTGCCCAGGCTAGAGTGAGTGCCGTGGAGTCAGCCTAGCTCACAGCAGCCTCAAACTCCTGGGCTCAAGCGATCCTCCTGCCTCAGCCTCCCGAGTAGCTGGGACTACAGGCATGCGCCACCATGCCCGGCTAAGTTTTTCTCTATATACTAGTTGGCCAATTAATTTCTTTCTATTTATAGTAGAGACAGGGTCTCGCTCTTTCTTGCTCAGGCTGGTTTCGAACTTCTGACCTTGAGCAATCCACCCGCCTCGGCCTCCCAGAGTGCTAGGATTACAGGCGTGAGCCACCTCGCCTGGCCACACGATTTTATTTTGATAAATGAAAAATTAGAAAAGTCACATGACGGCTGTCGGCCACAGTCAACACTGGGCTGTGCGCGTCCATCTGTGGCTGTCGACTATAGACAACGCTCGCACCGGAGTGGTTAAAATGGGTCTAGCGTATATTCATCAAATTCAGCGGGGTCCCGAACAGGGCCTCAGGTTTCCCGAGTAAACCCACAACCCAAATCTTTCAACGTCTCTGTTCTTTTCAAACTTTGACTGTCTCATCCTCTGTCACCACACTCCCCCTCCACAGGTAACCCCACCTCCTAATTCATGTCAGAAACAAAAGTGATTCCTCAAGAACTGCCCATAGTCATTACCTGAAATTCCCTATTCTCACCGGTTCTGAAAATGACCTCCCCAACCCGAGCTCTGAAGCTGCAGCGGGGCCGGTGGTGGGGACAGCTGGGTGAGGGGGAGCCGCTCCTGACGACTGCAGGGGTCGGGAGTGGGGCAGAGGGAGAACGAGGGGGGATTCTAGAAGGTTCCCCGCAGGTTTGTGGGGCCAGGGTTGGAAGCACGTTTGTAGGGGAGCAACCAAGTCCCCAATGGGTGTGTTAAGCCCAGGGACTTTCAAAGTCACTTCCTCCCATAGGCTTACTGGCTTTGTCACCTTGAACAAATTATTTTACACCTAGGTGAGTGTTAGACTAGGTCTTCCTTGGGGTCTTTTGTTGCTTCAAATGTTATGATTTTTTTTAAAAAAAACATATCAAATGTGTGTGTGAGAGTTACAAATTGAAGCTAGACCTACCTTAAAAACTTTGAGGATTCTGTTTTCATAATTTCAACTAGCTGATAAAATCAAAGCCTCCTTTAAATCATTCTCTTGCTAAGCTGAAAGGAGGTGTTGATAGTGTTAAATGAATCTGTAAGTGGAGATCAAAGACGTAACGAATATTTTTACACAGTAGTCTCCAGAACATGGAAAAATTCATTGCTACAAAACCAATTTACTGATTGATGAAAAAAGGTCCCTCCATATGAAACCTTTAAATGTGTGACATTCCAATCAGAATACTGAGTTAGGAGTTTCACTTTTCAGACACACACTGATACAAAAATACATCTCACATCATTATATTAAATGTATTCGATTTTTTTTGTTGTTAAGAATCGACAGTTGCGCTGTAATTTTAGGTCTCATTGAATAGTCGTGGTAGGAGAAATACTAATGTGCAGAGAATTCATGAAAGAGTTTTAAGTGTCTTACAAATGTATGATTAGTTGACTCTGCTTTGGCTTTTAAGTTAAGGCCTGCAGCTGTTGGTGGGAATGCATCAGATTTCAAAAGAAGTTAGAGTATGAATAAGCGGAATGAAGAGGAAAATCTGAGAAGAAAGTGAAAATTCTGCATATGGATTATCATTGCCTTGCTACTTTGAGGTTGAGTGCTAAAATACAAATTTCAAATATGTAATTTAGTCAGTTTTCATTCATGTTACAAACCAAGCTACGTAAATATAATGCAAAATGAAAGATTAAGATCATTCAAAAGTTTGGTATTCTGTTTCTATACCTTACAAAAAATCAAATGATTAATTATTTTTAAATAAAGATAAAGATAACTTAAGGTGAAACTGATACATTCACAATTTTGTTAACCATAATATAACTAACATTTAACTAGAAAAGAACTCTCATAATTTTAACAAGCAGAGTTTTTTTTTTTTACCTTCTGTTTATGATGATGATCTTTGTTTGAGGTTTTTCTCCTCAAAAATTAAAGTTTTTCACTTAAAAAGTGATTTTTAAGGAGCGATTGTTATATGCTAACATGCAGTTTATGTGGGCTAGACCAGTATACATGTAATAAAGTCGTAAGTTCTAAATGTTGCATGTTAATTTGAAGAGATTTTTCACAAGATTTTATCAACATTAGATTCAGAAGTATTTTGCTCTTTATTTGAGGTAAAGTTTATTTTAGAAAGTTATAATTATAGAAGGCTATCATGATTCAGGGTCTAAATGTTGGAATGTTGGCTTTGCAAGAATGGTTTAGGTGTTTTTTTGGTTTTTTTTCTGGTTTGGTTTTGTGTTTGGCACACTGAGAACTATGTCCTGGAATTGGTGCCCAAACAATTTTAAGTGTGGTATGAGCTGTTTATGTCACTGAGTAAAATTAGCTGTGCCTGTTGCTAATACCAGAGGATGAAACATGAGACGGGGCCGAGCACGTGAGAGCCTTTTCTCTGGGAAGGTTGGTGAAGCTTCACTCCTTCACTCTCGATCTGTAACTGATGGAAAAGTTTGAAACCTTCTGTCTTCCATAGAGCTTCGGTGAAGCAGATTATACTGTGCTTTTCAAAATACCTAAGGTGAGTGATCAGCTTTAACACGGATTTTATATGATTACGAAGAACAACTTAAAAACCAAATAGTTACAAGATTTCTTGACTTTTTTTTCCTTCATAAGTGACATAATAATTAACAAATTAAAGTAAAAATAATGTTGAATGAATTATATATCTCAAAATAATTATATATTTTCAACAAAATGCAGTAACTTCTCATTTCAACTAAGTTATTCTGACTACCCATATGCTATGTATTTTTAGCATAATCATGTATTTCTGATATTTTTAATTCGTAGAATGCCAATGACAGCATTTCCATGTTATTGGGGATTATATTGTGTACTGTTGTTAATCTAGACAAAGTATAAATCTTTAAGATCACCTACTTCTAATTCTACTCTTAAACTTTTGTGGCAGAATTACATTTGCTTTGGCTTTTACTGGTAGTTTTGTAACAGACATTAAGAAATAGACTAAAATTAATGAGAACAAAAGTCAAGTAGTTTTATAAATTGGAAATAAGCAAAACAAGAGCAAAATATCACCCTGGCTTTCTCGCTATTTTTGGAGTGAAAAAGGGAAAAATGTTTCTCCCCTAAAATCTGGGGAAAAAAATAAAGTGTTGCTCAAAATATGTATTAAAAAGTAAACATGGAGTAAAAGTAAGTATGTGGTATTGCTTGGGCTTATTGAAGTTGTCTGTTCTTTTGTGGTTCTTTCTTTGTGTTTCCTAAGTTAATATGTGGCAGTTGGAAAACACTGAGTTCTTAGATAACAAGGGAAAATGGAACTCAACTGGCTGAAATATTTGCCAGTGGGAAGGAGCCACTCCCTGGCACAAAACGAACTACAAAATGTACTAGGTCTCCTTTTTGCTTGTTTTCCTGCAAATGTTTTGTAGAGACAGGTCCAAAGAGACATCCTTATGGAATTTCAAGACTAATGCTTCAAGTCGGGGTTAGTTTTATAGGTTCTAGAATGTATTTAAGATTTTCTGTCAAAGCCAAATGCAAAGCAGTGTTTCAGCGTAGTTTTATATACAAAGCCTGACAAACCCAGCTGTCCAAAGGATGTCGGCGAAGCTTGCAGTTAAAGTGCTGAGAATAAAATTGTTTCATATTGCTCTTTAAAAAGTATACTTTCTAGCCATTAAACTAAATTGCTATTAAATTACGTATGAAAATTAAATACTAATTGTAAATGATGAGCAGGTGCCCAGTTTTTCCAGTCTGCTTAATGTGTGGAGCCTGAGAGTCTCCCACCGCACCTGGGCTCTCTCTGGCCCGTTGTGGCCCTTGCTGCTTCTCAGGCACATGCCACGGCCCCGCCACCCCCGTGGTTACTACTGGGTGGGGAAGGAAAAATTGCAAAATCCTGAGGTTGACTCTGCTACTGTCCCTTCCTTCAGAACCCGCCTCCACCCACATGACACCGTGCTTTCTACCCTTCCCCCTTCCTTTTCTCTGCATCTGTCTGGGTTTATTCTTCCCTGGACCTGCTGCAAGGCCAGCCAGCTCTATGATGTTCTCATGAGCATTGCAGAACTCATCGCCCACCACATCTGCCATTTCAGACTCCAGCTTCCTTTTTAATTTTACATGTTATGCCATAGAGACTTTTACGGTGAGGACTGAACTCTGATCTTTTTCTTTTGCTAAAAACTCCTTCCTAAGGAGGCCAGCTGGGTCAGGCTGGCAAACGCTAAATTCCCACTAAGCGGCTTTGTTAACCAAATAAAGCGGTGGTTTACTTCCCAACCTGATTCGGGTATGGCATTAACATCACCTAAAAGATAAGAAGCCCCTGTCTTAACTCAAACATCCTAGCAGATGCCTATCATAAATTTAAAATATCTTAACTCAAGCATCCTAGCAGATGCCCATTTGTAAATTTAAAGCATCTTAAAGCATCCTAGCAGGCACCTATCGTAAATTTAAAATGTCCTCCTGTCTGGACCTCCCAGAGTGCTCACACCCTTATCTTAAAATAAGCATATCCTTTCTGGTCTTCTAGATGAAGTCTAACTCTCTCAGCCAATTGCCAGCCAAAGATCTTTAAACCCACCTATAACCTGTAAGCCCCGGCTTGAGATGTCCCACCTTTTGGCCAAACCAATGCATGCCTCTCATGTATTGATTTGTGACTTTGCCTGTAACCCCTGTCTCTCTGAAAATGTATAAAACCAAACTGTAACGCAGCCACAGCGAGTCCACTTGCCCAAGGCCTCTTGGCAGTGGCTCCGGGTCATTGTCCTCAAATTTGGCTCAGAATAAATCTCTTTAAAATCAATATAGTAGTTGGCTTTTTTCTGTTGACAATTTGAACCTTGGTACAGGAATAATTTAGTAGTTTGTGGATTTGCAAAGGTCCCTCAAAATGTCGCCTGCCGGACTTCAGTAACTGGCATGCAGTGTACCACCAAGGAGTCCCGAAGCTGGAAATTGGGGAAGGCTCATGATGCCCACGGGCATTGGGGCTTCATCCTGAATCACTAGGGCATCCTCCCAACATTGGAAACAGGGCAGCAGCACAGTCACCCTCTGCTTCGGAGGGATCACTCTGGTTGCCACGGAGAACGGATTGGGGCAGTGCGGGAAGCAGTGAGGGTGCTTTCAAACCTGGCTTCACCTTTGTGACCATTTTGCCTCTTTTTACAATTCCCAATTGGCTTTACTTGTGAAACATCTTTGAAAGGTATGACATCAATGATGAGACGTTCAGGCTGTGGCGTCAGCCAGCCGCTTAGTAGCTACATGTCCTTGTGTGAATTAATTTCTGTTTGCTTCAGTCTCCCCATTCGTTCAGGGAGGGGGTTCAATTGCAGCCTCTACTTCCTCGGTTTTAATGAGTATCGAATTCAATCCATACAAGGCACTTAGTTTCCGATTTCTTAGTAAATAGTGTCTTTCATCATCACCATCATCATCATCGATAGCAAGGAAACGCAAAACCCCTCTCCCGCCCCCCACTGATGGGGAAGCCGGGAAGAGCCTCAGCAGAAAGGCTGTGCGGGGTCAGGATCTCTGACCGGCACCATCCCATCCCTTGAGAAGGCGCCACGCCGGAGCCCAGTAGGCCGCGGATCCCGGGCTGACGCTGTCTCTGCTCCCGAAGAGAATGTTCTCCGTGTGCAGCGATGGTGCATTCCTGGGTGCAAATAGAAAGCACCCCCCACCACCACCCCTGACATTCTCTGCACTGACTACCTGTCTCTAAGGGTGAGATTTATGAAGAAAAGAAAATCAAAAGACCGTTTGGGATTTCTCATGAACATTTTTTTTACTTTCATTAAACATTTTAGATCTTAAAAAAAAACTTTATATAAAATACTCATCTTGTAGGCTGGGCACAGTGGCTCACGCCTGTAATCCTAGCACTCTGGGAGGTCGAGGCGGGCGGATCATTTGAGCTCAGGAGTTTGAGGCCAGCCTGAGCAAGAATGAGACCCCATCTTTACTAAAAATAGAAAGAAATTAACTGGACAACTAAAAACATACACAAAAAATTAGCGGGGCATGGTGGCGCATATCTGTAGTCCCAGCTACTCAAGAGGCTGAGGCAGAAGAATTGCTTGAGCCCAGGAGTTTGAGGTTGCTGTGAGCGAGGCTGACACCACGGCACTCTAGCCCAGGCAACAGAGTAAGACTCTGTCTCAAAACAAAAAAAAATATTCATCTTGTTGAAACATAGAAGCGTGCTATCCCCACACTGGAATGCTTTCAAATGTGTACATTTTGGCAACATCTGAAAGTCACTTCAAATCATCCCATTCCAGTCCCAAAGCAGGGGTGACGATAAGGGTGGAAGTACGTCATGGCCCTGAAGCCCTCTGAGACTGTTTTAATCAACTGTCAAGGCAACTGGAAAATTGCATGCACGCCACCTTTGATAAGAACCTTCATCATATTCACCCCAAGCTTTTCTTTTTGCTTTAAATCATTTATTTAGAGTCCTGAGAGTAAAAGGAAGCTCAGTTTAGATGATGAATTTAAGTAACTTTCTTTTCTTAAAACTTGTCCTTAATTTCGTGTGGATATATACTACAGGTAGAATTTCACTCAACTGCTATTTTGAGGGCCTAGGCACACAAGAGGGATTTTTTTTGGGGGGGTGGGGGGGTTAGAGTTGGTTGGCCTGAAAATTTCAGGTTCCGTATAAGAACCAAAAGACTTACTAAAATATATTCGATGTGGGCTACTTTATTCTCTCTTGGTTAAACACAGCTTTCATGTGCAATTTGAATTTAAGGGTAATCTAAACTCTGTCCTCCTTTGTAAATCACGTCCGACTTAAGGGGCTTGTCTGCACAGGACAAATGGCATAAATGCGGCATATGCCACCCCCTTGCAGGGCTGGTATGTTAACCGGCTTTGTAGTGGCCAGCGAGGGTGTCGGGGTTCTGTTGCTTTTCACACTTCTCTGGAGGATCGCCCTGGCCCTCAGCCCACATCTTTGCCCAGAGCCGTCTCGTGCCCTGGCCTGCTGCCCGGCACGCTCCTCTGGAGAGGGTCCCCTCGATACATCACCTGCCCAGCAATCCTCGGCTCAGACCCTGCCTCTTGGACGCCTGACTTACCATGGCGTCCGGCGAGGTGACAGACAGGCTCTCTAAAAGAACAAAGGTTTATTCGGGGCTGGTGCAGTGGGAGCACGTGTGCCACGGGAAACTGTGTGCGTCTTCAGGGAGGTAAAGGAAGACAGAGGTTTTTGAAGGGAAAAATGAGGAGGGTTACATAATTGTTCGAGTGATTATCCTCGGCTGCAGAGATCCGTGGCCGCAAGGGTGGTGCCAGTCCCAGGTTGGGCAGGCAGCTGCTGGGCAGATGTGCTCGTGGCAGCTCTTTTGCGTGTCAGGTTGCGATGGCGTGCATGCAAGACGGCGGTTTTTTGCAGTCTTTTGTGGCAGTTTTCGTTACCAGGCGTGCAAGCACGACAACCGTCTCCTCAGGGCTTTCCCCGGAGCTACTTGTCAAAGAGGCAGTTATCAAATATGAGTCTAGAGATATTTTAGGTCATATGTA